CCTCGGCCCGCCTCTCCCCACCCCGCGCCGCAGCGGCCTCCGCGCAGGGGAAGCCGCGCCCACCACCGCCCCCCGACGGCCAGGCGGCGCAGCCTGGGATGCTGCGGACCGCGGAGAGCAAGGAGACCCGGAGAGCCGCGCACCCCGCGACCTCGGCCTCCACCCCCACGCTCCCCCAAGGCCGCACCGGGTCGCCCGCCCTCCGCTTGCCCAGGACACAGCCTGGTGGGGTGGGACTCCAGCGCTGCTCTCCACTAAGGCGGAGCTCGGCGTCGGGGCCACTCTCTTCCAGCCCCCTCTCCCCCCCGTCTCCCACCCCCTGGCTAAGAAAACTGCCAGGATCCTCGCTGCCTCTCCACTGTCTAAGGCAGCGGGGAGGGACGGCTCCAGTTTGCCAGCCTCTGGAGAGGGGGTCCCTCATCCCTGTGCACTGTCGCAGAGTGTAGCAGGGACACTGACCGTCTTTACTAACCTTGCCTCCCTGTGCCCTTCAGGGGTCGGTCCCCGCTGGAGACTTAAAAGGGGACTTCCTGAGAGTCTTCAAAACCTTAATTTTAAAGGTGAGTCCAGGGGCTGGAGAGATGGCTCAGCGTTTAAGAACACTGGTTGTTCCTGCAGAAGACCCGGGTTCGAATCCCAGCACCCACATGGCAGCTAACTGCCCATAACTCCAGTCCCAGGGGATCCGGCAGCCTCTTCTGTCCTCCGTGGGCATTGCACGAGTGGGGTGCACTACCTACATGAAGGCAATACCACCCATACACATAAAATAAAAATAATAAAAAAATTTAAAAAGTGAGTCCACTGGGTGTGAAGTGCCCCCCTCTGCCGCCCCCCACCTGGGGTCCTGGGGTAGGGGTAGTAGGCCTTCCTCAGGCCCATGGACCATGATTTTTGGTATCACAGGGACCTGCAGAACCTCTTCTGTTTGGTGGTGAATGGCAGGGATGATATTCCAGGTAGCAGGATTGGGCCCTTGAGTATGGGAGACCGGCTGTGGTATTCCCTTACTCCTGGTCATCTGCCATCTTGGTGGACTGGTTGCTGGAGACCAGAGACTGGGCTTGGTCCTCTGCGGGCAGACATCTGGGGAGGCATCAACACCTTCTGACCCTGGAAGTCTACCCTGTGCATCAAAAGGTCTAGTCACTGTGCTCCAAAGGAGTCCTTATGACAGCTTCCTGTTCTGTTGTCCTCAAAGACTCTCATGTCCCACCTTCTCCCCAAAGCCTTTTCTAAGGACTCCTCCCCACCACACACACACACACCAACAAGTAGCCCAAGACTCCATTTTTCTATCTCACTAGATGGTCATTTTCAGGATTGGCACTCTAATTCTTAATTACCCAAGATCCCTGGATCTTTTCGTGCTGCTCACTGTCTACCGGAGCCACAAACAAACGGGTAGGTCAGCTGAGTGGCAGTGTGGCCTGTGAGTGCTGGACCTCAGTCACACATGGAGACTCAGACCGGGAGATGTCCAGGGATTTTGATGATGGACCAGAAGGTGAAGACAACTGTGCTAAGTTCTGCAAGCAAACCACAGAGGACAGTGGTGGGGGCTCATGGGGGCCGTAGATTTGGATCCAGAATATGGAGTTCTGGGAAGGACTTCTTGCCAATTCCCCACCATCCCCAAGCTTTGGGCTTCTTTTGTTACTAGGGACCTGACAAGGGGCTGGAGGAGGCCATGTATGGGAAGGCTTCTCCTGGTCCCCTGGTAATTTCAAGGTCCATCAGTCACTGTCAGTAGGAGAACACAAGCCGTGGAGCCAAACTTGTTTGAGCCCACCCTACCCTGCCTGAGATCTCCTGGACTCAAACCCTGCCTGGACTCACCTCTCCTGTAGGGCTAAACCAACTGATTAGACAAGGTCCTTTCCTTTGGATCAGGAAATGTGAATATTTTTTGGAAGTTCTCAAAGTAAGCTTCAGTAACAAATAGTGCTAATGAATTGAACTTGTAAATATTCAGAGTCAGTCCCCCTACAGGAAATACCAGTGAAGTGAGCACACAGCAGGCCACTTTGCTGTGCGGGTTCCCTCTTCCCTACCCCAGTGTGGGACTGGCTGGGTTGGGCAGAGTTGTTCATTTCCAGTCCTTTGGAGAACAGAGAAAGGCAGCATGTTGTTGGTGTTCTAATTCTCTCCAACTCTTGCCTCCCCACTGCTTGTACTAATGCGCATCCTCCTTCACCCACATAAGAAGGAAGGAAAAATAATCTGCAATTTAGATGTAGAGGGGTTTGAAAAGCTGTAAGACTTCTAAGAGGAAAGAAGATGCTTAAATACTTTCCTCTTTTCTAGTGGCAAAATGTACCTTTAATACCCATTGTCTGGGCCATACATAAGTTCTCTGTATATGGCAGAGGATCTGTCAGGCTCATGGGAGAGTCTGTGAAAATACAATGGCCAAATGTAACTGGAGAGTCTCATCATGGGCTATGCAGATTTCGAGATGCACATTCTCTGAGGTAACTGGACAAGTATTTAGTTTGTGCCTGCCATGTGCTAAATGTTCAGAGGAAAAGGTATGTACAGACACCCTGTGACACGTGGAGGAGTCTCCAGTATCCTCGGAAGGACAAAGCCACACAAAGCCAGCCAGGGACAAAACCCTCTCCTCTCCCTCCTTTTTCCCTTGCAACTTAAATCGTGTCGTTCTAGACAAAGGTCTTAGAAAGATTATAAAAACTGAGACTGTGTCAGCCTTTTCTGAGATTTCATCTGGGTTTTGTTCTGTTTGGGGTACTTGTTTTTATGCGGGCTTCTGTCAATGTTTGATAGGTAATGCAAAAGAGTGAACTATTGGAGTGACTATTATTCTATCAGTGTTTTAGGACTCATGGGACCAAGTATGCCCTGTAAAAGGTTCACAACGGTTTCTATTTTGAAAGGATAAAAGAGAAAGAAACAATAACCCCAAAGCACCATGAAACGAAATGAAAAATAACCTTTGGTAGAAAGCCAGGATATGAAATACAGACTTGTGGCACTAAATGGACCCCAAGGAGTCCTTGAACTCATTTCTGTGCCTTTGGGTAGCAGGATTGCTGTGCATCAGTAAGGCACGGGGAGCAAGAGGGCTCTCCCATAAATTTACCCTGTATCAATTTATTTGTGACAAAATGCACAAAGAAATCAACGCTGGAAGCTCTAACTGTGCCTCAGGGAGGGGGGAAAATCCTATTTGAAGAATTCACTTTCTCAACACTAGAGGGCAGCCTTCTATTTTCTAGTGAATAGCAGTGACTAGCAGGCTCTAAGGTGTGTAACTGTGTACTTGGGACAAAGGTCTCCTAATCATCACCTCGAAACCCTTAATTTTGAAAAAGAAGCCCTGAATTTCCATTTTGCTGTTGGCCCTGCAAATTGGAAAGTTACTCCTCCATACCATGCCTGCCTCCTCCCACACCTGAGCCTCTGGCCTAGTATCTGAGGGGAAGCGTTCCCCTGCCCAGGGCTCTAGGCCACTGGTACTTGCTAATCAGACTTCTCACACGGCATGACCCATCTCATTGATTGGAAACCAAGTTATCACGCTGCAGGGACAGGTTCACACATCAACGAGTTTTACTTTAAAAATAACCCATTACTGAGTTCCTATTTCAAATCCAGTTAGATTAGCTCGGTCAATAAAGGATGCTGTCACACCCCTCCCAGTGTGCATAGTGCCCTGATTGATTAAATAAAGGTAGGCCAGCAAACCTCACCAAAGACAGAAGTGGACATGTGCCAACCAACCTGGGGACACAGAAGAGCTGAGCACAGAGCACCTCCCTGTATGTTCCTTCTTCTCTCTGGAAAACATATTACTAAAATTTATATAATAAAGTATGAACGGTGTGTCAAACATTCATTATCACCATGAAATATGTTTTGTGTATCCAGATAACATTTATATTTTTATTGAACGAGAGTCTAAAAATATACAATACACCCATCCAAAGCTAGTGTATGGGTTCTACCAGCCAGCTTCTGACTTTCTGTGCATTTCCAAACTCTCTCAGTTCTGTCTTCAAGGCATCAGAGCAAGAAATTGCTACAAATGTAACATTGATGCCTCTGCTTCCCCATCAAATGCCAAATGATGTCCACAAGCCTCTGAAAGGCTCTACCTATGTGGATTATGTGATAGACAAAATTAGTTTACTTTGTAGAATTATTTAAAATCTGACTTTCAGGGGACTTGTGGGATTTGTTGGTTTTTCAACTACTTTCCTCACTGTTGTGATAAACTGCCTGACCTGACGCAAGCAACGTAAGAGAAGGCTGGTTTATTCTGGCTCACATTGGAGGGAACAGTTCATTATGGTGGGGAAGGCACGTATGGTGTCAGGAAAGTGAGGCAGCTGGTCACACTGCATCTAGGCAGAAAGCAGAGAGAGGACTCCTGATGCTCAGCTTGATTTCGCCTTTTTCCTTTTTTCTGCAGTCTGGCCCCACAGCCTATGGGATATGTCGTATGTGTAAAATA